TAGCAAGTAATAGAGCAGAGATATATTTGCCACAAATATAGTCATTATTTGGCAGTCGGAAATGGGTGTGTACTTTTAGAGGGTGTGGTTCCTCTGGAATTTGACGCATGCACCCCAGCTTAGAGAAAAGTAACACCTTAGACCTACTTCTTTTTGTGGAACATTCAAAATGATGTGACTATAAATGTAACTGCTCAAAAAAATGTAGCCAAAAAGTCCATTTTTAGACTATCGAGCCATCTTAAGCGATGTTTGTGTACTGTTTTCGTAGGATCATGACTTGATAAAATGCACAATATAATAATAACAAATTGCGTGGAAAGATTAAATGAAGAAAACACAACATCCAAAAATCAGTGCCGAATAGTTCAACTAAATAATTCCCCCTCCTCCGCCACCAAAACGAAACGACATTGGAATTGGTGTCTAATTCGATCTACTAGTGTATGATACTCTATTTTATAGTTTTTAATCGCATTTTTATACTTCCACGGAGTAAAGTACGCTTTAATTATAAGACTTAAAAAAAAATCTTCATTGAATAAGAAATTTTCTTGAACTAACTTCGTGAGTATCTCTACACAAGTGAATATATGAAAGATCATATATTTGAACTTCGGAGAAAGATACAAAGACATGATTGATCATGATTGATTTTCAGGCTTTCATTTCACAACTGCGCAAGTTGTGTGCATGAGTATCTCTCTGTTACCTTCCCTGACTATGCACGAAGGCAAATCTACGTGATTATTTTAAAACGCTTCTTGCCATTTTTAACTCCCAGGAATTATCAAAACGATTCCAATATGGTGACCACGAAGGACAAGCCGACACGACTACCATGAAATAAGGGCATCAACGGCTAATACGCTGGAGCAGGCTGTACTGGTAATAATTAAGAGTTCGCCAACACCAAAACTACGATTCCACATGTGAACTTTCACGAGATGTGTCGTACTACATTATATGAGCCTTTCATGCGGAAACGGGGAGGGCGTCCGTTCCTTTGCTCGGCTCCAGTCTACACACGAGCTCTCGATCCGCGGGGAGTTGTAGAGAACTATGTTTAATGAACCAAAGAAATATCCCAACTTGGGTCATGACATCAAGGGTCGGTCGGATCTATTGCTCGACGACAGGCAAAGAATATCAAAATACAGTCGCCTCGTTACTCTGCCACGTTTTGATCTGTTCTTGATGTTCGCTTAATCTGAAAAATAATTTTGATCAATAATGTAATTGAACCGAATAACAATGTCACTAGAATGTAAACTAAAAACATCTCTCAATTAAGGCTGGTTTTCACTAGCGAAGGAGTCGTGGTCGGAATCACAGTCGGAGTCGTAAGAGCGCTTATGACCCAGTGAAAATCAAAAATTGGAGTCGTAAGCGGAGTTATAAGCTCGACGGAATCGGAGTCGGAAGATCAGAACGTTGCCATTCCTTCCGATTCCGTTTATGACTCCGTCGCTTATGATCCAGTGAAAACTAGGTTGTCGGAGTCGGAAGCAGAAGTGGAAGAACCAATCAATCACAAGGCCCGGAATCGAGCATTGTTATTGGTTTTCTCTTCCACTTCTGCTCCGACTCCGACAATCTAGCTTTCATTAGATCGAAAGCGATGGAGATAAGCGGAATGGGTGTTCTGCTTCCGACTCCGTCGGTTTAATTTTCACTGGATCGTATCACTCTACGAGGGACATGTAGGGCATGCTATATACAGTCAAAACCGATCAAAAGTTCCTCGCAATATAATGTAATGAGTACACTAATGAATATTTGATTTCATTCTCCATTTTAAACGTCCGTTGGCTCTCTTTAAGTGAAGAGTGCAATATTCAAAATGATACTTATCCAAAAGCTCGAATTCTGATTGCATTATGAATCATGTATGGCTTGACTTGTCAGAAAAGTGACAATTTGAAGATTTACCCAAATTCCTCATTTTCACCAATCGCGTTTTTTATTTCAACCTCTTCTTAATACCAAACCATCCAGAGCCTTGTCTCTGACGACAAAGACTGTTTTTAGGCGTGCTGCTGCGAACATTTAATGGTAAACAAAACAGTCAACAGTGTTTATGTCTATAGGGCCCAAGGGTTAAAGTTGCCCTTCATAATTTTATGTTAGAAACAATTAGATGTAGCATCAAGCTCTCGAACTTTGATCTCAGTCAAATCTCGAGTTTTAATATGCTGTTTTAGAGATGAACAGACAACAAACCTACCATGAACCAAGTTCCACATCTTGTCAATAAGATCTTCGCCCTGCGTCTGCCAGCTATACTCCTTTTCATAGTATGCCCGAAGCATCTGAATCTCTTCCAATCGTAGTGCTCTGTCTTTCTGACGGACAGCAGTGATTGCCTTTGCCCACTTCTTGTAATCCTCAGAATCCACAACAAATGAGCTGCCATAAGGTATGGCCTGTAATGCCTCTCCAAATCCAGAGTTACCGCTCACAAGAATAGGAAGACCAGCAGATAACGCTTCAAGAGCGAACAATCCAAAACCTTCCGCCCTTGATGGCATGATGGCAAGGTCGACTTCACAGAGCAATTCCTTTAGTTTATTCTTATTTTGGACAAATTTTCTGACAACCAACTGATTCTCGCAAATGCCATTCTTCAGTAACTTTTGTGCCACCTCTTTGTGTTTTCTATCAGGTGCTCCCACAAAGACCAGACTATATGACTGATCTTTGAGTTCAACTATTGCCTTAGCAGCAATGTCGTATCCTTTGAGATTGAAGTCCTCAGGATCGTCACGACTAAAAATTAACACTTTAAACCCGTCTACCTCTCTTGAAGCTTGTTTTACAACAGTTAACTCACTGAAAACGCCTGGAGTGAGCTGAAAAATGTCCTTTTCACACGAGCGAAGATAAGACGAGTAAATCTTTGTCAACCTGGGTCCAACTGTCACAACAAGGGTAGCTAGTTTGCAGAGGTCAATTTCAGCTTCACTTTTCTCTTCGCGTTTGGAAATGGCCTTAGAATAGGCTTTATGCATGCTAAGTTCTTCTGGAGCAGTATGCACTACTTGCACCCACTTACATTTGTGCGATTCTGTTATGAACTGCGCTTGTTTTCCAAGTTCTACACCATGACCCACTATTACGTCAATAATGTGGTTTCTTGGTGGGGACATCAGCCAATCAAGGGGGTCTTCAAAGCCAGGACGTTTTTCTACTTCCAAAATAGTGATGTTCCGACTTGTGGCTGCTCTCTTATCCTCTTCGTTGCAAGAAAATTGTGGGACTAGGAGAGTGACTTCTACTTCGGAGTTGTTCGCCAAGATAATGGCAATCTCTGTGATTATGGTTGATAGACTACCTTTTGATGAATCCCACTCACTGGACAGCATAGTGACTTTCAAACGTTTATCGGAACCATGCCACGAATCACATTGCGCTGATGTAGCCGGAGAGGTGGTAGAAGGTAATTTCTTTAAGGTAAGAAAAAGATACCAACCAAAAAAATTCATTATGACAATGTACACACAGTAAGCAAGAAATCAAGACTCGTGCATGAGTAAAAAAAGAAGCCGAATGAACAGAAATTATTGTGCTTGTGAGCATTAACTTTTATGTTCAAGTCATTTTATGAAAGTGTCGTAGTCTTTAGCACTACTGCCCTAATTGCGGAAACATAAATACAAATCAAATTCAGTTGCAATTCAAATGTATTTAAAAATCACAGTTGAATCGATGACTGATGTATTTCTGCTTTTTAGGACTCTTAGGGCTCGTCACGCGTTCCTTCCCTAAGAGCGTCTGCGTGGGAGGCTACATTAAAAGCGAATCCCTCTGATTTCAACTCCAATAACACTTCGCTTGATTCAGCAAATATTCTCCATTTTCATCGATCTTCTTCTTGTTGCTAGTCACACTCATGTTCAAATGACACTCATGTTCAAATTCATGTTTCACATGAATTTGATATATTTGATCACTCCCTGTTCGTGGGCGAAAGGGTTTCTCAAATTCGTGGGGTTTGTTGGCAAACGTTCCCTTGCTCGCCCCGATTTTCGCCCGGCCAAAACACGGAAAACTCTTATTCGTACGGGAATGCTCGCTCCGCAGGTTACCCCTCGGAATTTTTCCACATGGACATACACCATGGAATGCGACCGCCAAAAACACCGCAAGTGAATTTTTAGTGGAAATTAGGACGCACAAAACACTTTCACGTGCCACTGAGCAGTAGGATACGGCATACTGGACTGGACTGAACTGGATTTGTAAAACGCGGACTTGTAAAACGCAGACTTGTAAAACGGGGATTTGTAAAATGCGGGCTCTTAAAACGCGGACTTGTAAAACGCGGACTTGTAAAACGCGGACTTGTAAAACGCGGACTTGTAAAACGCAGACTAGTAAAACGCAGACTAGTAAAACTCGGACTTGTAAAACGCGGACTTGTAACACACGGACTAGTAAAACGGACTATAGTCGAATCTCTATTAAGCAGACTCCTATTAAGCGGCCAACCTTTATTTGAAAAGAAAGCTGTTGAAATTGTTCCTTTCTCAGAATGTATAAAGCGTATTGAAAGGTTAAACCTCCTCACGTGACACGTCGCGTGACGAAAAGCATGATCTTCGAAGGTCTAGTGTGACTGCAATCTGCAAGCTCATGACACCATATGATGATCATGTTCCTGTGAGCTTTTTATTTTAGATGTTTCTGTTTCTCATGTTAAGAATAATGTGACTAATTTGAAGTTCTTCGGATGAGAGATGATCGTTCCAATCGATAATTGCAGCCGGAAAAGAAAGCTGTTGAAATTGTTAGTAAAAGGAAATTGCTCCTTTCTCAGAAAATGAAAGCGTAATTAAAGGTGACAGCTCCTCGCGTGACACCTTGCTTGACGGAAAGAAAGCGACGGGAAAAAATATGGAAAACAGAAATATTGTAAGAAAAATATTTTGGCTGTCCACATTAAGTTTAGAATTTGAAGTTTTTATGCGGCCAAATTAATGGTCATTCAGAACGCAAGATTTGCTTGCATGGAATTGATGTAATGTTACTTGGTGGCTCTCAGTATGTTAGAAGTATACAGTTGACTAGTATTTGAATTTCTTTGGATGAGAGATGATCGTTCAAACAAAGACAATTAATGCGGAATTCGACTTACTTATTCGTTTCACTACAGTCGAACCTCGATTAAGCGGCCTCTCTCGGGAATGAGACAACTGGCCGCTTAATAGAGGTGGCCGTTTAATAGAGGTTCACAGAAAACAACGTTGGGTATGGTCCAGTTTTCAGTTGATCAAATATAAGTAAAAACAAATGCAAGTGGAGAAAAAGTAGAACAACGATGGTTATAATACGGTCCACAACGTTAACAAAAATCAAAGAAGCAATTACGTTTCCACATTGTCATTCTTTTACTTTCATCTGGCTAGAAAAGTTCGACTTCAAATCTTCCTGGCCGTTTAATAGCGGCATACAACAAAACAAAATCACCCTTGGGACGGCAAGAAGCTGGCCGCGGCCACTTAATAGAGACGGCCGTTGAATAGGAGACAATTGCGTTCATTAGTGTGTCTGAATGGACTTTTCGGTGTTACGTAATCCTTTTGTGTTAGATTTGATTTGGTACGTTTATCGCACTATATTAGTTCATAACTTAGCCTTGTTTTTCGTTCGCTTAAATAAGTTTAATTCTAATCCTCGGCGTGTACGGTACGGATCGGAACTTCTTGGACATTTTCGAATATCAAGGACACTTGGATTGTCAGGGCATCGTGTCAAAGTTTGGTTCTTAAAATCGTGTGAAATCGAATAACTGTTTATCTGGTTTACAAACTGTATGGTCACCAAAATCGCGCCAAACGTCGGAATAAATTTTCATTTGTAATTGTCGCGCGAAGATGACGGCTTGTTTCAAGCTATCATCTCTCGTTAAAAGACCGAGACCTTTACCTCAATTTCTGGAATTTAAATGGAGTGAAGTAAGAATAGAAGCAGAGCTAAGATATGGGACGTTTGGATCTGTTTAACTTGTGAAATATTACAAAGAAGACCGTCGATGTCATTGTAAAAAAAATGATAGGTGAGTCGGCTGAAGCAAAACGTCGCCGTTGTGCAGAAAGCTGGAATCCTAAACACATTAAACGGTCACAGAAATATCTCAGAATTTTTGAGATTTTGTAAAGAACCCTACGTGATAATGATGGAGCATGCGTGTTTTGACTTCACTCCTTTTGGAGTTGATAAAAAATTAAATACGCTGGAAGATTTTTTTGTATTTTATTGATGCGAAATTCGACTTTCTAATTCGTTTAACTAGTCCGTTTTACTAGTCCGCGTTTTACAAGCCCGCGTTTTACAAGTCCGCGTTTTACAAGTCCGCGTATTACAAGTCCGCGTTTTACAAGTCCGCGTTTTACAAGTCCGCGTTTTACAAGTCCGCGTTTTACAAGTCCGCGTTTTACAAGTCCGCGTTTTACAAGTCCGCGTTTTACAAGTCCCCGTTTTACAAGTCCGTATCACAAGTCCGCGTATTACAAGTCCGTGTTTTACAAGCCCAGTCCAGTCCGCGAAATACAGTATGCCCCAGGATACGTTCAGTTATCACCCCGGAGTTATCCAGGTGTCAAATTCTGCAGCGAAGAGATAAACTATATACTGTCCTCTATTTTCTCGTATTTTTATTCGATCGTTGAACGCGCGGATAGAATCGCGGGAGAACTGGACGCCAGCGCAAAACGGGAGCCTCGACAGGGGGACCGAGAAAAATGGAAGGGCTGTAGCATCTTTGGAAAAAGTGAATTCCCCGTTTCTCCAAAAACGGAACATTTCCGTTGGTTGAGAGGCGGAAAAAGTGTCATCACCTTGATAACGGCCGATCATGATTGCGTCAAGGCGCGTTTTGCGGTTTGTAGCAGTTGTCATCTTTGACACATGCCGTGATTCGTAATGGAGCGCTTGTTATAATCCTGTTTAGAGACATTTCAACATGTTCCTTCGCTCAAAGATAAACATAAAGAGGTTGCTATTCATATTCTTCGGTCGAAGGACGTTGTTACAATTTTGCCGACCGCCCGTTTGATATATCAATTCTACGCAACGGTAAAAGAGATGCAAATGGATGCGAATGTTGTTTTTCTCATTGTTTCGCCACTCAAAAGCATCATGAAAGGACAAATAATAGAGAAGGAGGAGCTTGGGATTCCTTCTATCGTTTTTTCAACTAAGGACGACGTGCTTTTGCTGATTGGAGAAGCGAAATACGAGCTTGTTGTCGGTGCAGCGGAACACTTTTGGATGAAAAATTCCAAAGTATGTTGAAGAACAAAGATTCTCCGCTACACAATTGTACCACGCTTAGTCTAACACCTTCACTTCTAGGCTCAACAAATAAATTTTCCGTTGATGCATCAAATGTCTTACCAAAAGTCCTCAAGCGAATAACATAAGGGGGCAAGCGCATATCCTACAAAAATCGTAAGGACCGCTTGATTTCGGCTTTCTCCTCCTTTTTGCAGGTTTTAACCGAGTAACCGTCGTCTGACACAGCATCCTCAATACCCCCGAACGCACTTGCTGTTGTTTGCAAACTGATCTTGTTATGAGCAATTTACCGCTCAAATTTAATTGATCCGACCTATTTAATTAGACAAGAGGAGAAGCTGTTGGCGACGAGGCAATGACAGAAGGAGCCTAATAAAATCACTTTTTTCCAAAGATGTCTACAGTCTCTCTCTATTCTTCGTTAGGCTCGCTTCATTGGCCTCCCCGCCCCCGCCGCAACCTCGCGTGCTTCAAGCTCGCTTCGCTCGCTTTTTCTGTCGAAAATAGAAAGTCTTGCGTTGAAAAATAGACAGGCTGTGGACAGTCTAGCGAAAAGACGGGATATACAGTCACATAAGTTTATTCTAAAGGTAAAGTGCACGTACGTACCAAACCAATCAGTCACGTTAAGCTTTGTGTACTAACCTGTGAAGTCCCTTCAGTTTCTCGTTCATCTGGAAATGCAAACCAATGAGAAAACTGCTTGACTTGAATCCTGCGATCCGGGTGCAACCCTTCCCTGTTGCAAATGAAAACCGGTTGACAACTGAACAACTCAGACTCTGACACAAAGTGCAAGCACTCCTCCTGACTGCAACTAGGCACACGATGAGTGTGGCAACTCTTGACTGTGCCTGCACGAGAACACACTAGACAGCAAACGCACATTTCATAGGTCATGTTTCTTAGCCAATCAAATTCTTTGCGCATGCTCTCCATCATCGATTTCAGTTTGCAATAGATGTTGCGGCTAGTGGTCACATCAAAACTGCTGCTGTGGACATTTGCCGCCACTTCGGAGTCATTGTTTCCTATACGAAAAATGACTTCAATGAAAGAGGAGTGACACCGGAATATAACGGCAATTCCCTCGTCAGGACGTAAAGAGAACATAGCAAAATTCTGGAACAATTGAGGAATCTGTTTGCTCTTCCACTCTGCGTTGCACCACTGAAAAAACTGTAAAATTAGTCGAGAAAACAGACCAGGAGGTACTTGACCCGATGTGAACTTCACATAAAGCGAAGGGTTTCGTACATCAGCAAGCAGCTTAAGGACGTCATCTGTTGGAGGTGAAAGAAGCATGGATGGCACAAGATACTCCTTGTTAGTAGACTCGGAATTTGATGGCCAGGAACAAATCAAGCTAAATTTCTCCATTATTGCAGTCAGGCTCTCGCGGGTTTCTCGTTCGTCAAACAAGGAGCTCCACACATGCTCAAGGAGATGTTCATCCAAGATTCCAGTCTTCTCAAGCTTACGCCAGAGTTCTTCAACTTTTCTGTCCATTTGTTCAATACGTTTAACGGTTATTACCTTCTTAAACACATCAATGAGCCACTGAGGGTCCAAAATCACCATTCTTTCCAGCTCTGGGGTGCCATTAAAGTGAATCAAGATTCTCTGATCATGCAAAAAATTCAGTAGTGTCTGAAATTCAAACTCATCATCAATTTTGCAATTTTTGGATGCAATCTCCTTGGCCTCAGAGAGAGTTATCCACTTGCGACGCGTTTTCCTCAAAAGTTGGAGTGCATTTTCATATTGCAGCCACTTCAATGGAATTTCCTCTTTCATCTGAAGCAGTTCCTTAACAACAGTACGTACTTCGTCTCTCAGGCGTATCACCTCCGGGCACTCCTGTTCGCTTCCTGATTTTGTGTTATCTACAACAAAAAAGTTTTTATATAGGTGTTTCCAGTAAGCCTTGTTTCGCCAAAAGCCATATATTTCACGGGCTAGTTCTCTAGAATCGCGGGAACAATACGGTTCGTCAGCGTGGGTGCACACGAAGAAAACGGGAGGTAGTCTTGTCGGTAAACTCTCAGACATAGAAGCCCTTTCACAGACGTCTTCTGAACTAATCAAGGAATAAACCGATGACAGCCAAAAATCGAGGTAGTCCCGGTTTTTTTTCATGCAGTAAATGTCCGTTATATTCTCGAACATGCCTTCTCTCTGAGGAGGTTCGGCTTCCTCGTTTGGATTTCGACTTAGGTCACAAACCAAAATGTAGATGGCTTTGGCTGACAGGAAGATTGGATGGGTTGAGTAGTAAACCGACTGTCCACCAAAATCCCAAAAAACTGAATAAATTTCTTCATCTTCTTCATTTTCATCTTCTTCAAGCAACTTTTCAACCAGTAATGCTACGTCGTCTGGTACTTCTCGAACAATTAGGTGACTGCTGGTTTCCTCTTTATGTTCAACCGGAATGTCTACCTCTTCATCTCTAGTTGTTTCTGTTGTGGGATATCCAGGGTCATGTGCTGTTTCCTCACGAAGTTCAGATGCTGCAATTCTGTGATCTGGAAATGATGGCTCAGAGTTATTTGTATTTGCTTCTGTTGGGAGTTGAGATGTTCTTTTGTTCAAAGCAACTGATGACTTAGGGGTACTCCAGCTTGGTTCCTCCGAATCTGGACCGCATACATCACCGTCCTTGGTACCCAATGGCTCCGAAACACTCATGGAATTTTCTTCTTCCTTGAGGCTTTTAACAATCAGCTGTGCTGCTGCACGGCACTCAAATGAAGGTTCTGACTCTGAATCAGTTCCTTTATTCTTATCGCCTGTTTTCCAAATTTCTGTTGACACTTTAAAGTATGAAGGATCCACTTCTATTCCAACCGTGCTGCATTCCTCTTTTTTGAAAGCTTCTCCTTTCAATGACTTCTTTAGACTAGTCTTCCCTGTGTGGTGTTGTCCAATCAACATAACTGGCAGCCTTTTCACAGACGTCCTCCCCTCGGAAAGGGCCTTTTTGTAGGATTCAAGAGCCTTGGGTCCTCTGGCAACAATCTCTGCAGGTACTGAATTTTAACAGAAACGACAGAATGTTTACATTACAATGCATGAGCATCAGGTTATCCCCACCAAAGATTATAAACTAAATATTGGGAAGAAACACCTTTCTTTTTAGTGGCTCAAAACTATACAGCAAATTCCCCGTAAATAGAATAAACACCGTAAACATTCCGCAGACTTTTGTCGCGGAAAAAAACGTTTCTTGTAATCTTAGCTTTTAGTAACATCCCTCTCGTATTGCAAATTTGTATTGTAACTTGCATAGTACCGGCGACTACATTTAAATGTAGTTATTTTAATAGAATCGCTGATATTTGGAACTCACTATCTTAAGAGGTTCAAATGTCGTGGAATGTGAACGCCTGTAAGACTGGTGTGAGAGATTTTCTAACGGACAGTGTGACTTTGATGATGTACTATATATTCAATGTGTTCTCAGCTCTAAACTTGCAATTTTAATGTATTTTTTTATGCGCGACTGAGCATCAGATGGAAGTCTGCGCGTTATGCATTTTAATTTTTATTATTACATCAAAGAAGTCGTGCACAAAATAACAATTAATCAATATCAGTTGTTAACAAATTTATACCTCTTACTAACCGAGTTAGGAGATTCTCTAATCGGCACGTGTCGCGATCCGCGGGTGAATTTTCGCGGGTCCGAAAAACTGAACTTTTATTTGTTTCGTAGTTTTTCAGAAACAATAACAATAACAATAACTTGAAAATTAGCGGATAATAAATTTTAAAATTTTAGTTGCCTTTTATTTGCGAGAAGTAGGGAGCAAAACAAACAACAAACTCTCAAAATTCAAACACATCCCTTCAGTTCGACAAACAACAAACCCACGAAGTTCAAACACATCGATCCCTAAAATCTGTGATCAGTTAACCGTATTACAAAGACAAACCGTTACCTTTCAGAGCTGCTATTGTGACGTGAGTAAATGATCTGTCCGCTCTGATTCTATCCGGTGGTTTTAAATTGTTTATGCAAAAATAAAACATTGTTTCTGTGACGAAATTCTGTTCATAAGGGACATAAAGCCCTTTAACGTTGACAGTTAATTCGCCTTCATTTTGTATTATTCTACATGCCCAGCATCTTGGTGCTGGTCCTCTTTTCTTTTCTTTTTTTTTCCTAGAGTCAAGACTTGTTGGTTTTTACTGCGAGGGTCATTTGAAATAAGTTCTTGTATTATTTCTTTTCTAGTTTTGTTGGTGCCCTTTTTATACATCGGGTTTTACCGAATGCCAAAGTAGGAATTTTCAATCAGTTTAACACAACTGATGCCACAGATTACTGTTCTCTGGCAGTCGACTTATGTTAAGTACTGTCCATATTATATGTTTACATAATTCTTTTCCAGAATTTTTCACAAAATCTGCACAACCACAGAAGAGACTTTTTCCTATTTCTACTTTACGATTGGAATTTTTTCTTAGGTTTACTACGATGTAGGCTCTTTGATGGGCTGTGGAGGAGTCCATTGATTTTATCTTGAGCTCTTCTTTCTCTCGTTTAGCCGTTTGCAGCCTATCGTTAAAGGTTATACTACGAGTAGTTCGGTACCGTCCCTCTCGTGTTCCGGCAGACTTTGTCGTATGACTGACACTAGCATTGTGGCGATCGTAGGGGTTGGGCCTTCCAGGCGCATCTTGCCGGGTCTTGAGAAGCTGATATATGGTCTTCGTCACAAGGATCTTCTCTGATCAGGTCTTCTCCGAGCCATTTGCTGAGCCCTACGGATCTGATCTCTTGTGGCTTTATTTTGTTTTTCTTGAAGAGATGGGCCTGTTCCACCCTTTCCTGTACCATCTTGAAATGCTTTATATGCCGCTTCAAGTTGGATACTGTCCCGAGAATCGGCATATGCCGCATCCAGCAAGGACATGTTCATTTTGTCCCTCTTTACCGAACTTGCATGGATAAGCTCTGCGTGGTTCATTTTTGGTGCTCTTTCAAACGGCACGAAAGCACGAAAGATGTAATTCCGTCTTTTGCGCCACCACTCGATCCAGCTCTGGAGATATTTTCTCTCCTCGCTTTCTGCGACAAAGTTTTCTAAGTATTCCTTTGATTTTTTGTAAGCCGTGGGACTTACTGCTTCGAGCAAAGTATTGTACAGGTCTTTAAAATTTCTTCTATCATGTTTATTTAACTTTCTCGCTTGCCTATTTCTACACTCTTTGAAGTGAAATTCGCATGTCTTCGATTTGTTCAACGCATCTGGACCAATAGCAGTTTTTAGGCCTTCCATATTTGATCCAGCCATTTCTGTTACCCAACCTCTTGGGTTAAAGACGTAGTTTTCGTCTTTCTTTTCTTTCCTTAACACTTGGCTAAAACAGTTCCAAAACAGTTCTACGTTGCAGGCGTCCTCCGTTTCACATTCCATTGTTGCGAGTCATACCAGCTTTCGTAAAATGAGATGATATGCAGGTACACTTGAGGTAAGCGATACAAAGCCGTTGCACCTTTTCACTTTTCCGTCAAAAAAGCAAAATTCTTTACTTAAGATATGATCTTTTGTCTCATCCATATTGAGAGCAAACGAGGCCGTCAGTTTACTCGTTTTAATAACGAAAAATAGTTTATCTGGGTTGCCGCATCTGTCGTTTAGTTTATAAATGTAGTATGGATCACGAGAATCAGAAAACTGTTTAAAGTGCGCTATAGCCTCAAAGCTGTGTCCATGGGCTGGTTGTACTTTCTCGTTTTTTTGTTTCTCACTTGATATCCATTTTTTGTCAAGTGTCTCGATGGACACCTTTTCAATTGAATTCCAGTCACTTCTTTGCTTCATCATCGACAGTATAATATTACTTTGCGTCTGAGAGGAAGTTAGACTTGGGTTTTCAGATACTGTCCGCCTTACATCCTTGACCGGTTTAGATATAACAGGCCTCGAAGGGCAGGTATGGTCACCGCAATGATACACAAATATGGGCTGTTTTTTCCCCACAACTTCACGAGATTCAAAATGAGATAATTGACGTTATAGTACATTATGTCATTCGCGATTTAGTCTCAGATATTCATGGTGGTTTCTTTTTTATCAAGCAACTGCTACCTTATCCGATGGGTTGACAGAATGTTAGCCGCCCATGAAGATTTTTTCGGATTGTACAACATACCTGACATTGGTGTGGAGACAATTAAGTGTCAGCTGTTAAAATTATTATTAAGTTTGTTAATTTTAGATTATTTTCCAGCCATTTCAGAGGAAGTCAAATCAGTTTTTGCATTTAAGCTCCCCACTCAAAGGTAGAGAGAGAAGGGCGCACAAAAACTAAAATTATAAAATATATTATCCGCTTATAAATAAGAAATATACTTGTTTTTGAAATATTTTATAGCTATTGTTATTGCTGACAAACTTTTTTCTGACCAGAAGTTCGACTGGACCGCTCTTAGGCGGACTGCCACTTAACTGTTGAATACTAGACGTGGTGCACGAGCTGGACAGCTGCCCTGTTTTTGCCATGAAAACGTGACTTATTTTAAGGTGGCTCAAAACAGTTTCCAGCACTTAGATTTTGATGGGTCGTTATAACCACTATTTATCACTTGATGCTACAATCATGGTAACAAAAAAAACTGCCCAATCATTGGTGAACACGTTGTTATCATTTCCGTGACACAATAGGTTACCATAGCAAGAGTATGACCTGCTAAAAACACCCTTAATTACAGTTTTTGGGGCTTAAATCGTACTAAGGCTTTTTACCATAAAATTTGCAGAAAATAATCTTTTAATTTACTAAATTAGCAAAGCTGTTATAATCTCACGGCCGAATCATGACGGGCGAATCATATTTCAAAAACCCCGGTCTACAAACTGCACTTAAATGGGCTGTAAAAACAAAAATGAAACACAGTCGCACCTCTAGCTTTACAACGGTCACCTTGAGGACAGAGGAAAGTAGAAGTTGTATAGAAGGGTCACCGTTATGGAGAGGTAGGGGTGTAAATATGAGACTTGTTGTTTTCGGGTGTGCGACATTTCTGCTTATTGCAGCATGTAAATACGATGTAGCAAAAGCGAAAGAGTGCTACTCGGAGAACGCCCATTCCGCATCAAGTGTTCAAACAGAAGCTAGTTTACTTTCCCCAATATAATGACCCTTGTGAACTCGTTTAAAAGTTCTCAAGTTATGCTTTTCGGTGTAGTCACTTCCGGTATTTACCTGCTTGTCTGCTGCTGATGGGTACAGGATCAGACACCATCGCAGTCTCGAATTTTTTCAAAGGAACTTCCAGGGAATCCAATGTTTCAGCACACTCCTCCGCCAAATGCATTTCCCTCTCGGATTCCTCCTCTCTTCCCAAGCCTTCGAGGACAACGGACATAGCTTGGTGAGTTAGCATGAATTCCTCGTGTGTGTCCAACACCTCGTCCTGCAAAGCAACCGCCTTTTCCAAGCTTTCAAGGGCACTGAAAGAGAGAATGCAGAAGAACGCCGTTAGTCGGTCCCCTTAGAGTTTTCATCGGGCCAAAAAAAGTAAATGTAATTATAAGGTGGTCGTAACTTTAAGATTAAATCGCCCACCCGGTGCGTGTCAACAACAAGAAGAGCAGTAAACTGAAGTGTGTGGAAGTAAATTGTGCGTGTATAACTACACGAGACAATTCTGATACAAATAATAAGAGAAGCACGTGCCAGGCAATGTGAACACGAGAACCTAACAGGCCAAGATGATGGAAACACACTCGACTGTATGCAATGGAAAGTGGAACTCTCACCTAATAATACCTGATGCACAACTAAAGAGTAAGTTATCAAACATTTCCTTGTCCACCATTTACAGTTATTGATCAAGTGTGGGGAGGTCAACATATTTGGGTATGGGCCAAGTTCTCTTTTTGCGTGTTTATGGACCGAGACGGAGTTGAGGTCCATAAACACGCAAAAAAAGAACGACGCTGATATCCAGCCATCTTGACCGAACAATCTTGGTCAATAAAGGATTTATTACATGGCTTTCAGGGAAATTCTTCTAGCAAGACACAGCGGGTAGTCCCGAGCGGGCAAGATAGTGCCATGTCGCCCGCTCGGGTAGCCAATCACAGTGAAGAATTTGCTTCATCTTGCCCGCTCACGGAGCTAGCCATATAACCAAGCACTTTGCTATTAACAGTAACTACTATTAGTTGTTTATTTAGTGTCATCAGTTATATTAGCAGAGCATTGCTAAATTATGATTATAAGCATTAGTATAGGTAATCATACAGTTTTGAGTTCAATTTGGAATTAATTTCCACGAGTGAGTTTTTCAAAAAGCTGAAATTGCACGAGCCGCTTCGGTTAGCTTTGAAAACCCAGTGGGCAGACAAATTTTATTATTGTTTTAAATTAAAGGCCACTTATACTTTCTATTCATGTAGTTCAGCAGTTTCAAACAGGTGCCATATTTTTAAAACGTGCCTTCAAAGTAGAGCTATTTTCGTGTTTGGTTCAAAACTCGATTTAACGGGTAGAAAATCTTCTTTTAACCCTTGAAGGAACAACATTGAATTACAATTGCAACATGGCTAAGCAAACTGCTATGATATATCTATAGTTGAAAAAAAGAATTGGGACTTTTGAGCGATTATTATTTTTTTTAGAGCGCCGGCAATATGTGCTATTACTCCAGTTTCGGAAGGCATGCAACTTGTGTCGAGCGGACCGAACTTCAATCAATCCTAGAAAACTTCAATTACAATTTTTAATCAAATAAAACTCATTTTAGTGATTGACTACGTAAGGGCTTCGAAATCCCAGCTTATGAGAAAAATCGAATTTTCGAAGTAAAATCAGTGGTCAGTTTTTACAGAGACAGCCTCTTAATAATGTACACATGAAAAAAATTTGCGTGGAGGAAATGCCGGAAGACCTTTCTTGAAGCCATTTTTTCTCATTCGAGAAAACTTTTTTCAAAGTTTCTGCACTAAGTTTTCGTCATCATTTTATGTGATATCATTGGCTTAGAAAATTTCCTATTTTCTTTTAGCCAATCATAATCTAGAATTACGATGTGTAATTTGCACTGGTGTTACACTTTTTGCACTGATGTTACACTTTTTGCACTGGTGTTACACTTCAACTGCACTGCTCTCAGCCGATCAGAATCGACTAATTTTTTCATGTATATTATTATCACTGTTACTGTATTATTTTTTCTAGTGACATTGACCAAAAGCCTAACCCTAATTCAGGAAAACCAACTATAAGCCAATAAGTGTATGCACTGTGGAGCTATTCTTGTTACTGATCTTTGGTTTGAGTTGGTTAAATTACGTTGATTCATTTGGTTCGAAGCTACTCTACATCAGAGCTGATGAATACATAATGAGTATGTGTTGCAGTTATTTTAAGAATTAATGGACCTGATAAGGGCGCATAACTGATATAGCCACCCAACATTGTCCCCTTATTTAAAACCATTGCACCCCACGCAAACCTGTAATGGAGCGTTATCTGATGGATTTCTCTATAATTTAGCAAGTAAAGAAATCAATGTCATACACAATGCAGTACTATGTAAAGTATAATGCTAATATTTATTAAACACATAACTTGCAGTTTAGAACAGTTGGGAAATTTTGTCACTGTCAGCAATGAAATATCCACATCAGAAATAAATAGTTTTGAATACAGTAATTAATATAAATGATGTGCATGAAAATGAACCGCTATCTGTCCGAAGTAGTTTCGCATGCATAGATGTCCGTCATTTGGAGTGTATTTTTTCCAGTTTTTCATGCGCGCCATTTTAGAAATTCACGTACATGCTCAATACTCCCTCTACAGTAAAACAACTAGGACGTATTGAAACCATGAGTTTAGCTTCTTGTGGTCGTTTGCATTAGCTTTTCAACATGCTAAGGTATTTTCTCATGTCCTTCACTTACGTTTCCTTTGTCTTGTCTTTGCATCCCATTTTTGCCAGCAAATCTGTTACTTTGTTTAATGTATCAGTGGTGTTCTTGTGTTGTGGGCCTAGTAATTCTTGCTGGATTTTAAGCGCCTTGTTAAGCACGTCCAAAGCTGATTGAAAATTACCCTGAATGACTAAAACATCGCTAAGAAGGACTTGCGAGCGAGCAGTGTCCTGATGAAATCCCAACAACCTCGCTCTCAACTCGAGAGCTTGTCGAGAGTACATTTCCGCCTGCTCAGCGTATCCTTGTTCGGAGCTTTCAGTCGCGAGGGACTTGTACGAGTCGGCAATTAAATGCAAGATTGTGGCGGTCCAAGGGTGGTCACCAAGCTCGTCCATGTAAACTGGCAGAGTGTTTGTTTTCCAGATTTCAATTGCTGTTTGATGATCACCACAAAGTCGATAGCTGTCTGAAAGAATTGTAAAGATAAATGTTTAGAACGGTTCGCAACTTCACACTGACCTAACAAAGGCGTCTTTAGTCATTTTGTATTGCTATGTTCGCCAAGGGGGATATTATCGTAATGCCTTACAAAGTAATTTAGGAATATTCTCTACTACACTTGAAATATATACCAAGAGAAGATGAAGGGTAAGAGAGCTCAGTAATCCTGCATATAGACTTTATTTCGCAGGTAATCTCTCTCAAGTTATTTTTAGATCACTCCCGGTTTCGGAAATCCCAGAAGGGACTTGAAATAGCCAATCCTGTGATACACGTTATCATCCTCCACGAAAACATCCATACAACGCGCGTGGTAACATTATCCCAGGAAGAACTGGGTACCCTATCTAAAAATAACTAACTCTTCATTCTCTCTTGTATTTATTCAATTTAACTCTCGTGGCCAGTCGTCCACAGGTGATAGATACTTGAATGTGTACAACTGTTCTCGTCGTTGTTAGGCGTGAAATGTATCCGTTTTAGTTCCCGCGCTTCCGTAACCGCCATTTTGAAGGTTGTGGTTAGATATGAGTTATGCTACAGAATTAGAGAAGCAATTTTCTTAACTGAATTGAAAAAATACTTCACAGCGTAAACAGGCGTCAACGATCCGTAAACAATCGCGGAACTTGAGCGGACAGAAACATTTGTGTGCGTTTACAAATGAAAACATCTACATGAGGACATCCTATTGTCTTCTCAAAGCGTATGCAACGTGTATTGTTCAAATGGCAAGTTGTGCGGTTTAAAAACTATCCGTTCAAAATCAGTTACTACGCAATATCTCACTCACTCCCCAGGTCACAGGTGCCAGCGACGGTATACAAAGAAACTCCCAGCATCTCTCTCATCTTGATGCCTTCTTTGATTAAATCACGACCATTCTCTAAATCACCCTGCAAGAAATAAAGAAAGAGTTCTAAAGGAACAGCACAGAAACAGGGTATTCATTGACTCCACCTATGTATGTGTGTACCTCCGCACTTTACCTGGTTCTTGATCTGAGACGTACTTGTGACCAGTCCCTGGTGTCATTGTGTCCTCTGTCATATACAAAGTTCTATTTCGTAGCCCTTGTAATATTATGTCGGAGAAAATGTTTAATTTGCTATTATTTGAGCTAAGCTTCTCCCCTCCCCCACTCCCCACAAAAAAAAATTAAAGAAACTGTTACCTGAAGAACATGACACAACCCAAGCTTACTGATGGTGTGTGCATGCGTCTGACATTTCTGATCCTCCTCTGGTAATGTCTTACGGATGTCATGCGCTGCCTGAAACAGTTCTAACGTTACCCGGCTACACTCTGGCTCGGCCTTGCTGTGAGCTACGTCACAAAGACAACGGAACCCAAGAGAATTCAAACTCTCCGCGTACCTCCTCTTATCACCGGAATTCTTTGCGATGTCACAGCACTTCCGGTACAGTTCAGCACACTCTTTGGGAGGTGATAATACTATAGCTAAGAAATTCAGCACTTCGGTGCTGTTAACGACATCTATGGCTAGTCCTTTCTGACCTGTATCATTTGCGTCTTCGAAACAGTTCTTTAATGCTTCTATGATATTCACTTTCTGATCTCTGAATGTCTGGATGGCAATCAGTGCTGAGTTCTTAGTGATAAATGTCTTACTCAAACTTTTAAGAAGTTCAAGGTAATGCAGGTTAAACTTTCGCTGAGCATTGCAACCTACGTCAACCATGTGCAAGTTTTTTCTCTCTGTTCTGCAATAAGCCATGAGCAAAGGATGAAGACCGAGTTTTTGATCATTCATCTTTTGAAGGAGGGTGCTCTTCAACATCTTCGTCATCACGGTCTCTAACTGCAGCTGATCTTCAAAAAGAAACTCAATGTCCTTGGGAGAAAAAGTCGATGGGAAAACAGAAAGAACGACGAGACATGCTATTAAGTCTTTTGAAATCTTATTGACAAATCTACCAAGTGCATCATAAATCTCTTTTGCATTGGATTTCAGGAGTTTTATGGGGTTGTTTCTAAGTTCTTGAACTAAGACCTCAGGATTGAAGCCATTATTGAGCAGGGCGGCACAGTTGACGAGAAACAGCGGTATCCCACCGCAAAGCTCTCCGAGGTCTTCTACTTGCTCTTCAATACAGTTGACATCTAATCTCCGAAGTAGTTCAGCAGACAAGTTGGAGTCTAAAGGCCCAAGTTGAATTTTATGTATATCAGCTGAAAGAAAGCCTACATCTTGGCGAGTGGTGATTATCAACTGAACTTTAGGCGCGGACTTCACAAGCCATTCAGCGAAGTCATCGAACTCCTTTCCCTGCACGTCTTCTGTGTTGTCGAGCACAATGACAGTGT